TTCATTTCACGAATTCAAATGATGCACATAAATTTCTTACAGATCGGATTATAACTTTTGTCATTAGAGTGTTCACATGGTTCAACAAAGTGAAACTCTAAAAGTAATAGAACGGAAATTGCTGAAATCTAATAGGCATCTTCGTTTCACTAATTTAAATGATTCATATAAATTTCATACAGATCGGATGATAACTTTTTCGTAAGAACGTTCACAGGGTGCAACAAAGTGAAACAAGGGTGATAACTTTAGACGTAATAAATGTAAATTTCACTAAATTGAAGGATGCATTTAAATTTCATAGAGATCTGATAATAACTTTTGCCTGTAGAGTGATCACAAGTAATTGTGGACGGCGGATGGACGGGGACGACAGCAATATACAACCACATTTAATTGCATATTTTAACAGGTTGAGCAAAGTTAGTATATAAAACACTATTAAACATCTTTTAAACTTGATATTAATACATTTTATGTTTATATTTCTAAATGATCAAAAAGATAGGTTGCCAGGCAACGAAACATACGCCCACAGCAGCTAAATCGTCCGGGCAGTCAACAAGAGTTGTCGCATATTCTTACTTTTTTCGGTAATGAAACATTTATAATACACTAAAATCTGATTAAGAGCAACGACTCATGAAGTAATTATCAGAAAACCATTAGAATTTGTTTGGTTTTTATAAAGTTCTGCCCCATGCTAACGTTTTGTATACAAAACTTTTAATATCATGGATTTGTTCAAGTCATAAAAATTCATTGAAAATCAATATACTTGTTCGTCTCAAGATCTTAAACTCTGTGTATCAATCTGAAGTCAATCGGATGATAACTTTAGCCTTTAGAGCTTAAATCGTTGAAAATCAAGGGCCATAACTCTGGCAGTAATTATTGGAAATCGCTGAAAACCAATAGGCTTCTTGGTCTCATGACCTTAAACACTGTGATAAATTTAAAGTCAATCAAATATTAACTTTGGCCTATAGAGCGTCCACAAGATTTTTTGAAGTGATCAAGGGCCATAACTCTGGCAGTATCTCATAACCTCAAACACTGTGTATAAATTTAAAGTAAATTGGATATTAACTTTAGCCTCTAGAGCATCCACTAGATTTTTTAAAGTGATCAAGGGCCATAACTCTGGCAGTAATTATTGGAAATCACTGAAAATCAATAGGCTTCTTCATCTCATGACCTTAAACACTGTGTATAAATTTAAGGTCAATCGGATATTAACTTTGGCCTCTAGAGCATCCACAAGATTTTTCAAAGTGATCAAGGGCCATAACTCTGGCAGTAATTATTGGAAATCGCTGAAAATCAATAGGCTTCTTTGTCTCATGACCTTAAACACTGTGTATAAATTTAAGGTCAATTGGATATTAACTTTGGCCTCTAGAGCGTCCACAAGATTTTTTGAAGTGATTAAGGGCCATAACTTTGGCAGTAATTATCGGAAATCGCTGAAAATCAATAGACTTCTTCGTCTCAAGACCTTAAACACTGTGTATAAATTTAAGGTCAATCGGATATTAACTTTGGCCTCTAGAGCGTCCACAAGCAATTGTGGACGTCGGACCGACGGGGGCGACGACAATATACGACCACATTTCAATGTGGGCGTATAAAAATAATAACATATTATTATTAATCTTTGAAATGATTAACACATGGGGAGTCTTACTTAAATCCCCCAAACCCCAAAAATACCAAGATCCCACTACAATTTGAGAAAATATGAGAACTTAAAAGCCGATGATTTGGTCAATCACAACATTATTGTTCCTATAACATTATAACACCCAGCGCTCACGCTGTCGATCGCCATCGCCACCTATTGCAATAAAAATATAATTTTGGCGATAAAATATTCAATCTGGCGAAATTTTTGGCAAAATAACTTTTTCCTGTATGGCGATTCTTTTTTAACTGTGGCGATAAATTTTTCTTGCCACAAAGCTTTGATTTCCACGCCGTGCATATATACACGTTACAGTCTATTATGTGCTTAACTGAGTCAGTTATCAATCAATTAGGTGTCAATAATATAGATATCTTTTGTCTCTTGATCAATCTCGGATTAGTGTTGATTAGTATTTCATTAGAGTAGAAATAAACTAATTAAGAGACAAAAGATTTAATTATTTGTCTTCAAATACGAATCGGTGACTATTTTGAATAATACTCGTTCGATTTGTTTGGTATTATTGAATTATGACGTCTGTTTTATCTTTTTCTTACTTCTGTTGCCCGTATTGTTAATAAATGAAGCCAGGTTTGTTGTTACAGTTTATCTTTGCGTATATATTCTTTGGGTTGTCGAAAGTCAGTTATCACCAAATCACATGCCATGGGTCGTAAGCGAAAAATTGAACAGCCTTTGTCAACGTCCGATAGAAGAATGTCAGATTATTTTAGTATATCACCACCAAAATGCTCCAAGTCTACAGATGATACTGACATCATCAGCTCTCGTCCATCTAATATTATTACATCCTTGAATGTTGAAGCTATATCAACTTCTACAATAGGTCTGCATTAGGCTACCTCAAAAGTTCGCGACAGAAAAAAATTTCGAAAAAGAAAAATCTTAAAGGGGCATTATGGGAGATTAGATAAAGAACCGGCCGTTCTCACTATAATAGTTAAAACTAGATAACGTGAATAGAATAACCGCGATTTTAGGCCTAGCCTCGATCATCATTACTAAAGTCGGTAGACTACAATAAAAAAAACATAGTCTCGATTATCCATTTTTGTTTAAGCGCATACTGAAAAGGTAGATCTTTTAAGGATGAATGGAAATTTTCAGATATACAGATATTCATTAAAAAAAAATACACTGTGTAATTTAATGTTACTAAGTAATAGAAAAGTGGTTAACCAAGATGTTAAAAAAATCTTTCAAAAAATGGGCTTCTGCAAAGCAAAGTAGAATATTGTAAATTGTAATATCATATGTATATTGTATGTACTTATGTAGAAAGAAAGTACTGAAAAAAACTAATAGATATATTTGTTCTTTATTTTGGCGGAGAAAATATATGGCTAATAAATTAAAATGAAAATTTAGCAGAAAAAAAATGAAACCCAGAGGGAGCACTGATAACACCAGTGGTTGCAAGACAAGATACACCTACATTTTGCAAGAGATGGATAGAGAACAAGCTAAGGACCATAAATCAATAAGTTACGATCTGATATGCGTAAATATCAAAAGGAACCCCCTTTGGATTATAAACATGTATTTCAAGTTTCATCAAAATCGGATCAAAATTGTGGCCTCTAAAGGATCCACAACCTTGATATATCATACATTTACACTATTTGCGTAAAAGTTTCAGCAATTTTGTCTAGCAGTTTTGGTCCCATTTTCACACAATTCGATGTCAATCGTCATTAGGGTGTAACGGTGATATATTCAAACGTTTTTTTCAGTCGGATAAAAATTGTGATATCTAGAGGGACCACAAGCTGAAAACATGATTTTTCGTACAATCAAAGGCCATAATTCAGGAAGTTATGATCCGATATCAGATCAAAATTGTGCCTTCTAAAAGGTCCACAACCTTGATATACCATATATTTACGCTATTTGCATACGAGGGGTGGACATTTTGTCCGGCAGTTTTGGTCCCATTTTCACAAAATTCGAAGTCATCCGTCATTAGGGTGTATCGATGATATATTCAAATGATTTTTTTTAAATCGGATAAAAATTGTTACCTATAGAGGCCTAGAGGTACCACAAGCTAAAAACGTGATTTTTTGTACAATTAAGGGCCATAATTCAGGAAGTAAGATCCGAATATCGAAAGGAACCAAGATCATTGGGTTATAAAGATGTATTTAAAGTACCATCAAAATTGTCTTCTAGAGGGTCCACAACCTTGATATACCATATATTTACACTACATGTATTTGCGTACGAGGGGCGGCCATTTTGTCTTGCAGTTTTGGTCCAATTTTCATGAAATTCGAACTCGACCATCATTAGGGTGTATCGGTGATGTATTCAAATGTTTTTTTTAAATCGGATAAAAATTGTGACCTCTAGAGGGACCACGAGCTAGAAATGCAATTTTCCGTACAATCAAGGGCCATACATCAAAAAGTTACAATCTGATATGCATTAATATCGAAAGGAACCAAGAGTCTTGGGTTATAAACATGTATTTCAAGTTTCATCAAAATTGAATCAAAATTATGACCTGTAGAGGGTCCATAACCTTGATGTACCATATTTTTACACTATTTGCGTACGAGGGGCGGCCATTTTGTACGGCAGTTTACATTTGATTTTCACGAAATTCGAGTTCAACCATCATTATGGCATAACAGTGATATATTCAAACGTTTTTTTTTTAAATCTGATAATAATTGTGACCTCTAGAGGGAGAACAAGCTAAAAATGCGATTTTTCGTACAATCAGGGGTAATAGTTCAGGAAGTTACGATCAGATATGCGCAAACACCAAAAGAAACCAAGATCTTTGGATTATAAACATGTATTTTAAGTTTCATCAAATTCAGATGAAAATTATGACCTCTGGAGTGTCCACAAGCTAAATACGTGATTTTTCGTACAATCAAGGGCCATAATCCATGAAGTTTTGATCTGATACATGCCAATAGCAAAAGAAACCAAGATCTTTTAGAGATAAACCTATATTTCAAGTTTTGCCACAATTGGATAAGAATTGTGACCTGTAGAATGTCCGCAACAAATTGTGGACGGGCGGACTGGGGCGACAATAATATATGTCCACATGAACATCTATAACGGTACAGAAGTGTATTTCTTAATATATGCAATATACACTATTTTAATTCCCCTTTATCGTATTGGATGATTTTTTTGTACACTAAACCCTTGCAAGGTTAGAATTAGAATTTAATGGTCTAAAGATCTCTAGGATGTTGTAAGATCAAATGCTATGTGATATAAAGTCTTTAATAATGAGTCAATTGAAATAAACAAATTGAAATTAACATACATAGTCTACTCTAGCACCATAAACACCAGAAAGAGGAAGCGTGGTTGCTCTTGGTGATAGCCCATAACTCGGTCCATAACCTGGCTTTGGAACTGAAAATATAAATTACAAAATACATAGCAAACCCCTAAACATAAAATGAAGTAACATAGAGGTATGTAATTGAAGCCAGTCTCTATATACACTTTTTATATATATTATTACCGTTTATGTGTCACACACACTAAAACATTTTTCAATTTCTTGATTACCATCATATCTGAGTTGAATTGTGTGTCACATCACAGTGGCACAATTTGAGCTGGCTCCAATGATTATTATAATCAACCATACACCTACCATGTATCTATTACTGATCGAACAAGCCAACAGTGAGCCTGATGTCTTCCACCGAAATCCCAAAATAAATAGATGACACACATTTATTAATCGCACATTTAATTTTCATCACTCTCTATCAGATAGAATCAAGATTATCTTTTCCCAAAGCATTGCTTAGCTTCAGCTCGAAATGTTAATCAATGAACTCAGTCAAGACATTCACCTAATGAACATCTACATCAAGTCTAAACATTCTACCTCAATTAAAAGCAGAGTTGTTATGTTGCAAAGTCTTGACCAATCAAATTGCTTATCGCTCATTAGCCTAAGCAGAAAATTCTCACCATCGAAATTAGTCAAGGTAATGATATAATGAATCTATATTCGGAGTTCCATCGCTCTCACTTCATTATAACCAAAGTTATCGTGCCTTAAAGCATCAACCAATCAGATTACTTATTTCTGCTTACAGTAAGCAGACAATGTTCATCATAGAACTCCATCAAAGCATTCACCTAATCAACGCCTACACCAAGTTTAAACATTCTACCTCAATTAGAAGGACAGTTATTGTGTTCCAAAGTCTCGACCAATCAAATTGCTTATCGCTCTGCTTACCCTCAGCAGTAAATATTCATAATCAAACTTAGTCAAGGTATTGATGTAATAAAGCTATACACCAAGTGTCCTCACTCTCACTTAATTATAACAAAAGTTATTGTGTCTCATGTATATCAACCAATCAAATTGCTTACCTCTGCTTACCTCAAGCCGAAAATTCTCATCTTCGAACTCCATCAAGGCATTCACCTAATAGGCACCTACGCCAAGTGTGAACATTATAGCTCAATTAGAATGAGAGTTATTGTGTTCCAAATTATCGATAAATGAAATTGCTTATCGCTCCGCTTACCCTGAGCAGAAAATGCTCATTATCAAACTTAGTCAAGGTACTGATGTAATAAAACTATACACCAAATTTCAACACTCTCACTTAATTACAGGGGGGTCACGGTGGCTAAGTGGGTAAGACGCTTGCTCGCTAGCTTGGAGGTTTCAGGTGTTCGATCCCTGCATTGGCCGAGAATAAACAAAGTGAAAGTAAAATGATAAAGGTAAAATGAAAGTAGAATTATGAAAGATAGGTTGCCAGGCAACGAAACATACGGCCACAGCAGCTAAATCGTCCGAGCGGTCGACAAGGGTTGTCGCATATTTATTCCTTTGTAGGTAATTGGGGGCCTTTAGAAGACAGTTCCATACAGATCAGATTATATTTTTTGCCGTTTGTAGGTAATTGGGGGCCTTTAGAAGACAGTTCCATACAGATCAGATTATATTTTTTGCCGTTTGAGGATTCCCAAGGTTCTACAAATTGAAACAAGGGGTCTCAACTCTGGAAGTAATCTACAGAAATTGTTGAAATTTGACAGGCTTTTTTGTTTCTCAAAATTAAATGATGCATATAAATTTCATACATATCGAATGATAACTTTCATCAATCGAGCATTAACAAGGTTGAACAAAGTTAAAAAAGGGCAATAACTCTAGAAGTAATAAACGGAAATTTCTGAAATTCAATAGGATTCTTCTCTTTACTAATTTAAATGACGCATGTAAATTTCATACAGATCGGCAGATGACTTTTGATGTTAGAGCATTCACAAAGTTCAATAAAGTGAAACAAGGGCCATAACTCTAGATGTATTACACAGAAATTGCTGAAATTCAATAAGCTTCTTCATTTCACTTATTTAAATAATGCATATAAATTTCAGAAAGATCGGATGATAACGTTTGGTGTTAGAGCGTTCACAAGGTTCAATAAAGTGAAACAAGGGCCATAACTCTAGACGTAATACACAGAAATTGCTGAAATTCAATAGGCTTCTTCGTTTCACTAATTTAAACATACATTATGCAAGAGATAAATCTGATTATTGCAAGTCTTTATTTAGGCTTCAGATGTCATAGAAATTATAAATTAGATCTTTTTTTACACAACAAGCACAAAATCAACTCTGTAGACCCATGGATGGCTTGGATTTAAACAGGATTTCGTTGATTGATTAAATTTTTAAATGGCGTCGTAAGCGGAGATTAACCGTTACGTTGAAGTCATACTCCCGGAAATAATTTTAGATCGAGGCTAAATGATAGATTGTACGAAGCGAGACCACTGTTGAGCGAGGCCGCATGTCAGTCAATTTGATTGAAAGTTCGATATATATGTATACGGCCTTGATATTATGTTTAGTTGTGGTTAAAATGAGAGTTTGGGTGTCAGTATTATAAGCTACGCTCTTTTGTCACTTGCGTTTACAGAAAAATTATAGAAATTGATAAACATCGCAGCTAATTAACATCACCCCAGTTGAATTGCAGCTCCATTGGATCACTGTTCTTCGGGAGTTACGCAGGCCTACCAGTTACAGTACAAGAGTACACGCAGGCTAACAATATGCTCATTGATTTGGTCCATTCCTTTCAAACTTTCGCTTCTTATCTATATATTAAAAGTCTTATTTTTAATTTGTAGTAAAAATAAATGTGATACGAATTGAATTGCAACCCCGTCTCAAACCACAGCCATTGAAAATATTACTTGATAATCGAGATTATGTAGGTGGAGTTAACGCCTGTCAATCAAACGATCGTCTATTCTCGGAGACGGTGAAGAGAGAATTGACTCCCATTTCTAGTCAAAAATTACAATAGTGATAACTTTGTTCAGAATAAAGTAATTTGACTGAAATTTTCAATAAATTCTTCTTTCATCATTTATTTTTGAACTGTTATAGCAAGAATGGCCAACTCTCTATTAAAATCTCCCATAATGTATCTTTAAATAATGCATATAAATTTCAGAAAGATAGGATGATAATTTTTGGGGTTGGAGCGTTCACAAGGTTAAACAAAGTGAAACAAGGGCCATAACTCTAAAAGTAATAAACGGAAATTGTTCAAATTCAATAGGCTTCTTTGTTTCCCCAATTTAAATATTGCATATAAATTTCACAAAGATCGCATGTTAACTTTTGGCATTAGAGCGTTCACAAGGTACAACAAAGTGAAACAAGCCAAGAACATTCTACTGACTTGCCCCCTTTTCTAAGGAAATGCAAGCTGCTGAATATAGAGTCAAGACATAAGTTAAACAAACTTATTTTCATATATATAATACTTAACAATGTTTGTCCAAGTTATTTATCTAATCTATTATTGAATTATAAGACACCTTATAGCAGTATTAACTCTCGACTGACCCTTTTCAGACCGAATTTAGCTATTATTAAGAATAGTTTGCGTTATAAAGGTGCAAAATTGTGGAATGATTTACCTGAAACCATAAAAACAAATTGCAGAAATGTTCATTCTTTTCGAAGACTTATTACTAATAATATGTTTCAAACCTAAATCATCATCTTACTAATACTACCGGTAATACATGTACCACACGGTACATAATTGGTGCAAGATCGATATGTAAGCCATTATGTTTAATGTTCATTTCAATATGTCAATTGATAACCATTGTTATTTTTATTGTTTTTGTTATAAAGGGCACAACGTGTCAGAAAGGTCCATACATATCGGACCTAGTTTGTTCACCCTTTCAAAATAAAGATATTATTATTATTATTATAAACGGAAATTATTGAAATTAAATAGGCTTCTTCATTTCACTAATTAAAATAATGCATATAAATTTCAGAAATATAGGATGATAACTTTTGGGGTTAGAGCGTTCACAAGGTTAAACAAAGTGAAAAAAGGGCCATAACTCTAGAAGTAATAAATGGAAATTGCTGAAATTCAATAGGCTTCTTCGTTTCCCTAATTTTAATATTGCATATAAATTTCACAAAGATCGGATGTTAACTTTTGGCATTAGAGCGTTCACAAGGTTCAACAAAGTGAAATAAGGGCCATAACTCTAGATGTTATAAATGGAAATTATTGAAATTAAATAGGCTTCTTCATCTCACTAATGTAAACAACATATATCAATTTTAAAACAATTGGATGACATTGTGGACGATGGACGGACGTATGGACGGGCGCGCGGCAATATACATCCACATTTCTATGTGGGCGTATAAAAAGTGAAATAAAGAACATTAACATTATTTGTACTAAAGCAAAAGATGCCGCTCCTAATGGTACAGTTAATGATAAAGCAATTTATAAAATAAAACGAACGTAATTTCTAAAGCTGCTGTAATAACCAGTAAGCTAAATATTACTGCTATTCAGAATCGTCAACAATAGATTTTTTACAGCTGTAATAGTTGATAGATGTATAGAGAATTGCACGTGCTATGGCTATTTATAGTATCATAGACTCTTCCGCTGAGTGTTATCATAGTGCATAGTGTATGCGAGAAATCACTTCAAGATAAGCCACTGAAGCGTGTACATTCACCATGTCGAGACCAACTTTCAGTACGGTGCACGGGTCATTCTATAATTAGAACTAATGTTATCGTGTCCCAAAGCATCGATCAACCAATCAAATTGCTTATCTCTGCTTACTCTAAGCCCAAAATGCTTATCTTCGAACTCCATCAAGGCAGTGACCTAATAAACACCTACACGAAGTTTGAACATTGTAGCTCAATTAGAAAGAGAGTTATTGTGTCCCAAAAAGTGTGACGGACAGACAGACAGACGGACAGACAGACAGACGGACTGATAGACAGACAGATGAACCCATTTTAATAGTCCCCTGCTTTCTTCGAAAGGCGGGGGACAATTATGAATACCATGA